ACCTAACTTAGGAGGGAATGGAGAGCATTATGCTAAGTGAACTACTCAGTCCCCTAAGTTTAAATACCATATAAGATCATTATTGTAGAACATGTATGAGGATCCAAGAGAGGTAAGGTTGGGAGCACAGGGGTAAGGATGGGCAGGGAGAGGTTGTTTTAATCATGTTGCTGTTGTTGTTACATGCCATCAAGTCACCCATAACTCCTAGCTACCCTGTGTACAAAAGCCCCCTGCTCTATCCTGTGCCAATCTTATTGTCTCTGAAATACCTATCTCCCATTACCACAGTCACTGAATCAATCCATCTCATAGAGGGACTTTCTCTTCTGTGCTGTTCCTCCACCCTCCCAAACTTGATGTCCCTCTCCAAGGACTGGTTCCTCCTTGCAACATGTCCAAAGTATGTCAGAGCTTCAGAATCTTTGCCTCCAAGAAGCAGCACGGTCTCACCTTCTCTAGGATGGACTTGTTTGTTCTTGTTCTCCAACAGTCCATGATTTATTCAATATTTTTCTCCAGCCCCACAGCTCAAAGGCATCAATTCTCCTATCATCCCTAGTCACTGTGCAGCTTTCCTATGCATAGCAAGTAACTGCAAAGATTATGGCATGAATCAGGTGCACCTTAGTTTCCACACTAACACTGTTGCTCTTCAGTACTTTGGTCTCTGACAGCAGAATTTCCTACTGCAATTCGTTTAATTTGCTGGCTGCTGGTACCAAGTGTGTAGCAAAGCAAATTAAACCTCAATCTCTTCACCATCTCTCTTGATGCTCCCAATTGGCCCAGTGGTTAAGAATCTTTGTTTTCTTAATACTGAGCTTCAATCGATATTGAGAGCTGCAGTCCTTGACCTTCTGCACCAAGCGCTTCAGATTCTCCTCAGTTTCAGCAAGCAGAGTTGTGCTATCTGCATAACACAGACTACTGATGAGTCTACCACCAATTCAAAGAGCAAATTTCTCCTCATAAGAGACCAGCCTTCCAGATAATCTGCTCCGCATATAGATTTAAAAAGCTATGGAGATAGGATACATTCCTGGCATACACCCTTCCCAATTTTGAACCGTGAAGTGTTCACTTGCTCTGTTCTGACAACTGCCTCCTGATCCAAGTACAGGCTTCATAAAGTACAATCAAGTGTTCTGGGATTCCCATTCTTTTCAGAATCAACCACAGTCTGTTTTGATCCACACAATCAAATGCCTCTGCATAGTCAATGAAACACAGACATTCCTCCGGTACTCTCTGCTTTGAGCCTAGGTCCATCTACCATTAGCTATAACATCCCTAGTACAGTACCATAGCCTCTTATAAACCCAACCTGCACTTCAGGTAATTCTCTGTTGATGTGTTGTTCCACTTGGTTTTGGATAATCTTCAGCAGAATTTTGCCTGCTGTGATATCAAGGACAATGATAATTTCCACACTCTGTCAGCTCACCTTTATTTGGAATGGGAACAAATATAGATCTCTTCCAGGCAGTCGATCAAGTGGTTGTCTTCTAGATTTCTTGGCACAACTTGGTGAGCCCAGCCAGGGCAGCATATTCTGGTTGAAATATGTCAATTAGTAGGCCATCAATTCCTGGGGACTTGTCTTTTGCCAATTCTTTCAGAGCAGCTTGAACTTCTTCTTCATCACCACAGGCTCTTGCTCATATGTTGTTTCATGAAATTCTTCTGTGTCTACCAATTCCTTTTGGTATAATGACTCTGTATATTCTTTCCATCTTTTAATACTTCTGGGATCATTTAATATTCTGCCCAAAACATCCCTAAGTATTGCAACTCGAGGCTTGAATTTGTTCTTCAGTTCCTTCAGCTTAAGAAATGCTGAGTGAGTTCAGCCCCTTTGATTTTCTGACTCCAACTCTTTGCACATTTCATTGTAATACTTTGTCTTCCTGCACTGCCCTTTAGATCTGTTCAACTCCTTAATATCCTGATTTCTACAACATCTGGAGCAGGAGAGGCAGCGGTAGTGGTGTCAGCGGCCTCCCCCACAGTCACCTCGAAGGTCCCGGGGGTGGAGGGGCGAGGGAGGTGGCAGCGAAGGCCACAGTGGCAGCTGGACAAAACAGGTCACCTGCAGGTATTTCATGCATGGGGTTTGTAAGGAACGCGAGAACTATAGCTACTTTCATGACCTCTCCGACAGTCCCTATGGTGTTGTATACAAATACTTCCAGGAAGACTACTATGGGGACCACTGCAGATATGAACACAGGAGAAGATGCGCCTGCTGCAGACCCCACTGGCAAACTGGCCCTGGCTGCTCCCTCCGCACACTTGGCTGAAATGGGGAGACTCGCTGACATGAGTGTAGGCTAGGCCGAGTCAAGAATGTCAAGCTTTGCCACTGTTGAGGCACATGCAGAGGACTGGGCCAACGCCATCGAGTTTGCCCCTGGGCAGCCCTACTATGGCTGAATCGGCCCTTCCTGGACTGAAGCACCCGCACAGGATGCAGTGACCACGGAGGACCCCAAGACGGAGCCACCCTCTGTCGAGGGGTGAAATATACGCCAGGTATGGGCTGCAGGTCGTCCAACCCATGGACGCTGACCAGTGCTCCCAAGACATCAAGTCCTGCATCGAGGCCCACAAGGAGGACATGGAGATTTTGTTCACTGTTCAGTGCAACAAGGTCATGATCTGCAGGAACAGCATGGAGGTGATCTACGAGAACACCAACCTCAGGGAGCGCCACTTCAGCATCCTCTGCAAACGCAGCCACACCTACTGCCTCCAGTGCATCCACAAGTGGGAGTGCCAAGCAGTTTGAGAGCAAGATCATAAGGTGAGACTACTCCCCACCTCCACTCTCTTTGCATTCTCTTTGGGGGAAGAATTTAGTATCATACCAACTTCCAACCTGACAGATCATATTTAAATGCATGCATCTTATCTTGAAGCTGAGTTTCTTCTCTGTATCAGCTAGCTTCTAGGTTAGTTGGTCTCTCTACTTTAATTTGAATGAGGGAACCCTGTGTGTCCATTTAGAACCTTTGTGCTTTTGCTGAGGGGATTGTGTTGCATGGTGAACAGATGTACTAGCTCTAAATGTATGTTTCCTAATGTTTTGTCATTTTCAATCTTCCAATTCTATCCATTAAGCTAGCCGATAACCTACCATCCTTGAAAGATTGTTCTCATAACTGAGCTAACGGCATAATCTAAACAGAGCAAAGTTACAAGAAATAAATATATTTAAACGAAAAAAAAAAATCTTGACTTCTTCGCTTTGCTTTGTCTTCTCGGTACTCTAGTGCAATAGTCACAGTTTCTTCTGACATTCATCTTGGTCTTTTCTTCTTCCTCTATCTTTGCAATGACTTTCTGCATTCTTCCTGGATGATATTCTCAATATCCTCTCACAGCTCATTAGTGTTCAAGACCTCAAATTTTTTCCTGAGGTGGTTTTTAAATTCAAGCGGAAGTCAAATTTTGGTTCCTGTGGATTGGATTTAATTTTCATCAGCTTCAGTTTGATCTGGCATATGATCAGCACCTGGCCTAGTTTTCAGGTTTTAATCAGAGGACCACATAATTTGATGGGTGAAGGAAGGGGTGGGTAAAGGAAATGGAAAGATATTGGTGAAAAACAATGTATGAGGGGAGCTCTGGTGGCCTAGGGGCAAGAAGCTGCAACTACAATCCCAGAGGTGCACGGTTCGAATCCACCAGATGGTCTGCCGGGGAAGGAGGGGCAATCTCCTCCTGTACCAGTCGGATCTGATTTGACAGTACACGCACACAAAAAATAATAAGTTTTTTTTTAAAAAAATTATAAAAAAAAAGAAAAACAATGTATGTAAACTTTGTAAATAAACCAGTATAAAATAAAAGCTTTATTTAAATTTAAAAAATACTGACTTAATGTAAAGGGTGGGGGAACATATATACTGAAATTATAAAATCTGTATGCCTGCTAAAGTGATGAGAACTTAGAGAACATATCTGTAGATTAAAACTACAACCATCAATATGCATTACACCTCAACAGAAAAGAAGCAAAACTCTCACCACTGAACCAATAGATAACATCATAATAAATGAGGGGGGAGAGGGAGAGGACTAATGCTGTTAATAATTTCATTTTACTGGGATACACAATCAACACCCAAGAAAGAAACACCCAGCACCCAAATACTGTGTAAGACCATTACTGTAGCAACAGGTAACTAGTTAAACATGCATGAAGATCCAAAGGAGGTAGGAGAGAACTGAGAGGTGAGAAATGGGGGGGGGGGGGTGGCTTAATCATAGTGTTGTACAATTTGACAGGGAGGGGTAAAGGAACTGTGAAAGATCCAGTGTGAAGAACACTGTAGACTAACTTTGTAAGTAAACCAGTATAAAATAAAAATTTTATTGAAAAAAAAAATCAAAAAAACAGACTTCAATGGGCAAATTGGCAACCAAAGAACACTTCAAATAGTGAAATGTCAGTATAAAAAATAAAATCTGTCTGACAAACCATGGCATTTTCATACTGCTGTGAAAGCTGGACATTGAAGAAGGAAGATCAAAGAATAACTGATGTCTTTGAATTCTAGTCCTGACAAAGAGTATTAAATAGTCTATCCACTTCCAAAAGACCAAACAAATCTGTCTTGCAGTAAGTGTAACCACTGTTCCTTGGAAATGAGACTTTGTCTAACATATTTTGGGCACATTTTCAGAAAGAGTTACTCCTTGGGAAAAGTACACCATGTTTGGATAAGTGTGTAAGATTAGCAAAGAAGACAGAAAGCTTCAGTGACTCAAGCTTAGCAGTGACTGCAACAATGGTTTTAAAAGACAATAAGGATGGTGCAGGATTAGACAAGGTCTCAATCTGTGATACATAAAGCTGCTTTGAATTGATGGAACCTAACAACAGTAGACAGCATGAAAAAGAACTCACAAGGAATTTTAAATAAAGCTTCTACAACTAGCAACAAACTTGAAACCATTATTTTAAACACCACAAAAAACCATGTATCCAGTACCTGGGCAGGCCCACAGGCAATTCCAACGATGTGCTTTGTATCAAGACCTGGCAGTGCAGCAGGTTCTGGTTTTGTTACACGTAAGGTATCAAAGTGCTGACATTGGTCGTTGCTTCCCCAGCTGTGGACCTCACTGTCCTCAGTCAAAGCAAGGCAATGTGTGGAGCCTGCAGCCACATCAATGACTTTTTTCCCTACAAAAAAAGAATGATGCAAATTCAGCTGCAATAAAATACTTTTACAAAGTTATTCAGCTGGAAGGAATTCAACATTAATGTCTAAAAGATTACTGGTAGCTTTCAAATTAAGCAATCTGTCTGCTTTGAATTTTATTATTATTTAATTATTTATTATTATTATTCCTGATATTTTACTAACTATAATTTAAGGGCCCATCATTAAAATTAAAATAATGCTAAGGCATGAAAATGACCTGTGATTGATTTTCCCTCTTTATTAAGATTTTGTCATTCATAAATAGACACATATTTTGCTTATTTATAATACATATTTACTTAAGTCAAAGAACAAGCGGCCATGATTGCCATCAACTCTGGAAGCTTACTGGATAAAGAGATGTCCTGCAAATCCAAAAGTATGTTCTCGTTAAGTACGAACCCATAGCGGACCCTCTGTCAGATCTGCAGAGGCAATTAATTGCACAGGTGGAGATTGTCCATCCTTCTCCAGTGTAGCAGATGGTGGCCTCGAACCACATACCTTCAGGACTGCAGCACAGCTTCAAATACAAAAACTGCCCATGGGAGAAGAGAGGCAACTTCTTCCCTGTAATTTACATCCTGGAAGAACATGCTACAGAGCCACCTATGAGCCAACTCAAAAATCGAAGGCACCACTTCTCAAAAACAGAGAAAAAAAGAGGGTGGAGAGGTAGGTACAGCTATGCTATCACAGTAATGTGAACAGAGTCTCTGGGGCACAGCTAGCCCAGAGGCACATGCATACACAACACACTCGGCCGCCTGCACAGCGCTTTTTTTCATGCCTCAAGCTCAGCATTTCCCACGGCTGCAACGCTCTCTGCACAACTCCATATGACACAAGGCAGGAGGGTAATGCAGAAACTGGAAGTGTCCTGTTGTTGAAGCACCAGCACTTGCTAAGATCAATAAACAGGAAAAAAATATAAAGGAAAAAATAAAACCCTCCTCTACTGCATCTGGAGCTTTAGTGGCCTAGTAGATAGGGAATGCACTGCTAACCCAAAGGTGGTACCTCCTTCTTGTTGTTGTTGTTATGTGCCGTCGAGTCACTTGCGACTCACAGTGATCCTATGTACAACAGAACTAAACTCTGCTCTGTCCTGTACGAATCGTACTATCTCTGACACATCCATCCCGATTACCCCAGTCACTGTATCAATCCACCTCAAAGAGGGCCTTCCTCCCCTACGCTGACCCTCCACCCTTCCAACGATGATGTCCCTCTCCAAGGACCTGTCCCTCCTTAAAACATGTCCAAAGTATGCTACACGGAGCCTGAGAATCCTTGCCTCCAAGGAGTCACACAGTTTAACCCTTTCCAAGATGAATCTGTTTGTTTTCCTAGCAGTCTATGGTACCCTCAATACTGTTCTCCAGCACCACAGCTCAAAAGCATCAATTCTCCTTAGTCACTGTCCAACTCTCTGATGAATAACAAGTGATAGCAAAGACCACTGCCTGTATCAGATGCACGTTAGTCTCCAGAGAGACACCAATGCTCTTTAGTACTTTGGAGAGATCCCTAACAACAGACTTTCCCATCGCAATACGTGTTTTCATTTCCTAACTACTGGTGCCAAGCAAACTGAAGCTGTGAAAAATCTCAATCTCTTCACCATACATCCTGATGCTGCCAATTGGTCCAGTGGTGAGAATCTTTGTCTTCTTGACACTGGGCCTCAATCCATATTGGAGGCTGCAGTCCTTGACACTCTGCAGCAAGCACTTCAGGTTCTCCTCATTTTCAGCAAGCAGGGTTGTATCATCTGCATAACAAAGAGTGTTGAAAGATCTTCCACCAATCTTGATCCCACATTTCTCCTCATAGAGCCCAGCCTCCCAGATAATCTGCTCTGCATATAGGTTGAAAAGGTATGGAGACAGGACACATCCCAGGCGTCTGCCCTTCCCAATTTTGAACAATACAGTGTCTCCTTTGGTCTGTTCTGACGACTGCCTCTATGCTCCAGTGCAATTTTCAGAGTCTCTTCTGACATCCATTTTGGTCTTTTCTTCCTCCTCTGTCTTTGTAACGACCGTCTGCACTCTTACTGGATGATACCCTTGATATCCTCCCACAACTCATCCAGTCTTCGCTCACTAGTGTTCAAGGTCTCAAGCTTGCTCCTGAGAAGGTTCTGAAACTCAGGTAGGATAGACTCAAAGCCTTATTTTGGTTCCCATGGATTTTGTTTAACTTTCCTCAGCTTCAGCTTGAACTTGCATATGAGGAGTTGGTGGTCTGTTCCACAATCAGCTCCTGGCCTAGTTTTCACGGCTGATACTGAGCTTCTCCAGCAGTTCTTTCCACAGATGTAATCAATCTGATTCTTATGCATACCATCAGTTGAAATTCGTGAGTATAACCTGTATTTATGTCTCTTAAAAAACATACTTGCAATGAATAAGTCATTGATTGTGCAAAATTCATTCATTCTATCTCCAGCTTCATTTCTGTCACCGAGTCCATGTTTTCCAACTACTGAATCTTCTTATCTGTTCCCAACTTTTGCATTCCAGTCACCAATTATTATCAACGCATCTTGACTGCATATTCGACCGATCTCTGTTGGTAGAAATCTTCCATTTCCTCTTCTTGGCTCTGGTTGTTGGTACATATATCTGAATGATAGTGGTATTCACTGGATTGCCTTGTATGTGTTTGGGTATTATCCTGTCACTCACAATATTGTACTTCAAGACGGTTCTAGAAATGACTATTTTAACTATGAAAGTAATCACATTTTACCTCACCTTTTCATCTCCAGAGTAATATATCCTATGATCACCCCACTCAAAATGCCCCAGGCCGGTCCATCTCATCTCACCAATGCCTAGTATGTCGATATTTATGCGTTCCATTTCTTCCTTAACAATATCTAATTTTCCCACATTCATGGTTCTCATATTCCATGTTACAATCACTAGTGTCTGCTTACAACTGTTTCTCTCCCTTTGTATTTCCATACTCAAAAGGTCCACCTCAGTTGTTCTGTTGTACACAGGGTTTTCAGAGGCCTGCAATTTTGGAAGTGGATAGCCAATCCTTCTTCCTAGTCTGTCTTAATCTGAATGTTCAGATGCAGAGAAGCATACGGCAGACACTGTCTCGAAAGGATCTGGCAGACACAGAAGAATTTAAGGAAACAACATATGAGCAAGAGCCTATGGTGATGATTGAAGAAGTTCAAGCTGCTTTGAAGGAAATAGCAAAAAATAAGGCCCCAGGAATAGATGGTATACCAAGTGACATATTTCAGCTAACAGATGCTGCCCTGGATGTGCTCACCAAATTGTGCCAAGAAATCTGGAGAACAACCACTTGGCCAACTGACTGAAAGAGATATATATTTGTTCCCATTCCAAAGAAGGGTGACCCAACAGAGTGTGGAAACTACAGAACAATATCATTTATTTCATATGCAAGGAAGATTCTACTGAAGATTATCCAAAAACAATTGGAAGAGCACATCAGGAGAGAACTGCCAGAAGTCCAGGCTGGGTTTAGAAGGGGTCGTTGTACTAGGGATATTGTAGCTAATGTTAGATGGATCTTAGCTGAAAGCAGGGAATACCAGAGGATTGTCTACCTGTGTTTCCTTGATTATGCAAAGGCATTTGACTGTGTGGATCATAACAAACTGTGGCTGACTCTGAGAAGAATGGGAATCCCAGAACACTTGATCATGCTAATGTGAAACCCATACTTGGACCAAGAGGTAGTCCTCAGAACAGAGCAAGGATGCACTGCAAGGTTCAAAACTGGGAAATGCGTACGCCAGAGATGTGTCCTGTCTCCATACCTTTTCAACCTGTATGCAGAACAGATTATCAGGAAGGCTGGGCTGTATGAGGAGAAATGTGGTAACAGGATTGGTGGAAGATCTATCAACAATCTGCGTTATTCAGATGACACAACCCTGCTTGCTGAAAATGAGGAGAACCTGAAGCGCTTGCTGCAGAGGGTCAAGGACTGCAGCTTTCAATATGGATTGAGGCTCAGTATCAAGAAGACAAAGATTCTCACTACTGGACCAACTGGAAATATCATCAGGATGGATGATGAAGAAATTGAGATTGTTCACAGTTCTAGTTTGCTTGACTCCACAGTCAACACTCTTGGCACCAGCAGCCAGGAAATGAAAACACGTATTGCGATGGGAAAGTCTGTTGTTAGGGACCTCTCCAAAGTACGGAAGTGCAATGGTTTCTCTCTGGAGACTAAGGTACATCTGATACAGGCCATGGTCTTTGCAATCACTTGTTATGCATCAGAGAGTTGGACAATAACTAGGGAGGACAGAAGGAGAATTGAGGTCTCCCACACAATTTACAGTCTCTCAAATTCCAGGGCTTTGGTGGTTTTGATAGCCCAACTGTTAAGGTTTTGATGGTTTCTATTAACATTCATGTTATGAATACTTTGAGGAGCATTCAACAGTCTGAACCCAGCTCACTGTTCTTGTCTCTCTTTTCAAAGATATTATCATCTTTTCTTAACCACACTGGGTGGCTCACAACTGTAGAAGGAACATGAATACATATTTATATGTATTGGGAGGATGGAGGGATAGTACAGGAGGGGAAGACCCTCTACGAGGTGGACTGATTCAGTGACTGGGGTAATCAACGTGGCTGTGTCAGAGACAGTGAGATTGGCACAGGACAGAGCAGGGTTTGGGGCTATTGTTCGTAGGGTTGCTATGAGTCACAAGCAACTAGACAGCACATAACAACAACAATAATAATTATTTCTACAATACAACTAAGTAAATATGAGTTATATAAAAACAGGAATCTCATCAAATCCATCTTACTGAGTGATAAATTAATGCTCTTCACAAAAGGGCTAACTGAATAGACAGTGGCCAGATGGAGTGACTGCAGGACTGAGGGACTTGTAGGCAGGTTTACTGAGTGGGAATGCTGAGGTCAGGCTCAGTCTCACCAAGGTGCACTTGGGATGTAAT